TTCTCCAGGAACTGAGTTACAGGCATCTATTTCACAGGCACGGAGCATGCCCCGGACAGATCTCACTTAGATCTGAGAGCTTTCTGCTCCATCCTAATTTACTGGCAAAAAGACTCCCATCAATATCATTGTTACTGGCAGGATAAACTGATAGTATGTCAGAGTTGAGACAACATGACATTTCTGTTGAATGTGTCCCGAGCGCACAAGGACTTGCTGAAGCTATTACTGCTGAAATAGGTAAAAGAGGAGATGCACTGCTGTTGCAATTACAGAAGGCTTTGACAATGCCCCAAGTCAAGATTAATGTGAAATGAGGCTATAAGGCAGCATCATCAAATAAGCACAGCATCTGTCTACTGAGCAAATACAGGGAGGGAAGCGCTGGATCACATATACACACCACAGCCACCCATTAGTTGCTATTTTCACATGTCTAGATTACGATTTGCAGTGAAGCAATAACTGACATCCACAGCTGCTATAAATCAGAGTCAAGAGTGCTCCAGTGATCCACGGCACCGCAGACGGTCACTGCACAGCACCCAGCCCCTCACACACCGAGGGTGTCTGAACACTCCTCAGCCATTTCAGCACCACAAAACACAATCAGCCGCTAAGGCAGAAAAACAGTCATGCAAATTATGAAAACTCCTAGGTAATAACCCCAAGGGAAGAATTCAGATTTGTGATCATACTGTGCCTAGGATCTGCAGTATGCAGAAGGCTAAGGAATATGCAGGTAGTTTTAACTAGTTACAGACACGAGAAGTCACTGGCAATTACCCGTTCTGTTGCTTTAGGTCGAGATATTTTTCTCTCCAGCAAGGGGTCCCGCAGGACGGAGCTGCTCCTGCAAGGTGCTAAGCAACCAGCTCTGTCGGGAGACATTTTTACCATCAAGGTCCTATACCCAGCATTGCTTAGTAGCTTGCACCCATTGGAATGAGTCTCTGGAGCCTCGGGTTTTCTTGCCAATTGACCAAGAACTTTCAAGGGAACAGGTGGTGCAGAGAAAACCTCCATATTACCTATGTGAGCAGGAAGCACAATCACGGTCCCGTATGCAGCCTGCAGACGGGCCGCCCGCCCGAGCTCTGTTTCGGTGAGGGGCTTCCACCCGTACCCACAGCCCTGGAGGGCAGCCCCAACGGCACACGAGCCCCAGAGGGGTCACAGCCTTCCCACCAGAGCCATGGGCCCCACGCAGCCAGGACTGCCTCCTCCGCTGCCGAAACCATCGCATCTCCCTTCCCTGCAGCAGCAATCGCCTCCTCGTGCTGGGCAGTCCAGTGTCCAGCACTAGCCACAGAAGCAACTCCAAAGAGAGAAAAGACCAAGCTAGGTTGCTGCCTAAAACTGCTGGAAAACATTTTTACAGGAAAGATGCAGTTTTCTATGCTTGAGGAAGTTGACAGGTAGAAGATGTTTGCTGGCTTGCTCTCCTCATGATAGCTGCTGACAGTTCTCAAGACAAAGCACAACCCGCACACTTTTACACAATGCTAAAGTGTTTTGAGGCTGCCTGAAATACCCTACATCTGCACAGTTTAATTCCCAAGATGATCCCATGTTTATCAGATCTCCTTTAATTAGCATTTCTCCCTCCCTTCTCCTGGCTTACATGGACAATATTTTTCCATTCCTTGTTTCTGTCATTTCTATGCAAATTCATCTCTGTGCCGGCTCTGGCACAGTACAAGCACTGAAATGAGACTGCTTCCAACTGCTGCCTTGGGAGCCAGGAGGCTTCCAGGCCAGGGAAGGGGATTCTCCGCAAGCTCCGCTCTTCTGAGAAGAGGTCTCCCGGGGTCACTGAAAAATTGTTGCAGTTCCTTCGTGCTAAGCCAGCTGGGTATTCAGTATTAATTATAAGGAAAACTAAGGCTTGTGTAGGAAGAGGGCTTTAGCCCTCCCACCACAGAAGCTGTTCTCTCTCACCAGGAGCCTCCTGAAGGCATCATCTAGGCTCCTGGATGTTCCCCTCCATATGAACAAGCTTTCAGGCTGCAACGGCTCTTCCTGAAACAGAGTGATTAGAAACTACAACATCCACACACACTCAGAGCACTAGCTCCAAGACATGTGCACTAGCTTTCCCTAAATATAGACAAGAATCTGGCTACCAGTTATTCCTCCCTTTAGTAGACGCTTTAGCTCACTTCAGAGAAAAAAAGAAAAAAGTTTCATAAAGAATGAGAATGATGGTAATTTTAACAATTAGGTTAATTCCTCTCAACAGGGAATATATCTGCTTGCTTCCGAGCTTTTAAAAAGCCTTGCAAGGCTGCAAAGCGACTTTATTTCCACTATAGTAAGATAATGACTGACTGATTTCACTCATGCTGAATTTTGTTTTCTCCTTCAAGGTCTTCACAGTGAGGTAAGTAATGCAAATCAACAGCAGTAAGCTATATTACAGAATCCCAGAAGGGTTGAGGTTGGAAGGGACCTCTAGAGATCATCCAGTCCAACCCCCTGCTCCAGCAGGGACACCCAGAGCACGGGAGGCACCTGGTCACATCCAGGTGGGTTTGAAGATCTCCAGAGAAGGAGCCTCCACAGCCTCTCTGGGCAGCCTGTGCCAGGGCTTGGGCACCCTCACATAACTTCACTAAAAGGAAAACATACAATCCTGTCAAGCTTTTCCCTATTTTTTTTAAAAAAAAAAAAAAAAACATAAGTAAAGGGTTAATTCACAATTGGTATCATCCAGCCACCCACTTACATCTCCCAGAATGATCTTCCTTTTGCAGAAATCATTCTGCCTCTGAAGCCCAACCAAAGCACAGCATCTCCATCCTCAGTATTTTTTTTTTCCCCCCCCTCTCTCTTCTGGGGGCATCAGGGCAGTCAGCTAAGAACACAGTAGATAATGCAACTGGTTAAGTCAGACCCAAAACAAAGTCCAAACGTTCAGCACTGCCCTGTACTGGTTTGATGTTTCAATCACCTCCGGGTGAAGTAGCCGCTAGATACCCACTATCTGCAGCATATATCCATTATCCAGCTCAGCTGAAGCCAGCCTTGCAGAAGAGAACTGAAACGGTCTGTTTCGATGCAATCCCCCCAAGCCATTCCCTGTCCCCTCAGCTCACAGTCAGAAGGCAGCACACAGAGGCACAGCTGTTTCATTCAAGCTCAGGTAGGTCAGTGGAGAGGCACAACTGGTGCAGAAGGAGGTGCCTTGAAGGGCAGACACCAGACTTTGGCGTCCGAGTCCACTCCGGCCCTCCCCGAAGCTACACCGACGACTGTGAACAAGCCACCACTTGTGTCACTCACCAGCTGCAGGACAGGGACAGCAACACCGGCCCTTATTCCATAAGCTGCACTGTTCAGCACAAGGCACTTAACAGACCACCAGAATTATCCATAATAACTGCACAGTATCCTCCATTGTACAGGCGAGGCACAGACAGCGAGCTGACTATCCTGGAGCAGGCTTTGGACACTGTAACTGAAGGAAATTTATAGTAGACTCCAAAAATAAATGCTCTATCAGCTTTCCTTTCTGTCAAAAGGAAGAGCATTTATTCAAACTTCCACATCTCAGGGCTTTTAACTTTTTAGTTAGAAAGCCTCAGTACTGCAGTAAAACACACTTAATCCATTAACAAAACAGCCTCTGGCAATGTTTTCACTCAGTTTAAACTAGTAAATAAAACACATCAGCAAGTAGGAAACTAAGCAGCGCATCTGTATGCATGTTCTGGGTGCGCTTTACTCCAAGAAGTTGATTCCACATCTCACTTCAGAGATGCTTTCATTAGATTGTACCTTGCGAAATTTTGTTAATGTATCTCATACTGAAAACTCTTTATTAAAGATGAACAATAAATGTTTTTTCTTATGCAAATTCAGAATTTTGTTGTTGCTGTTCTTTGATTTTTCTGAAGGGATACATATTTTACTGTTACATTAAGCATCAACAGAAGAAACAACTGATATTCTTTGATTGTATTTCATGACTACAGAGAATGTTATCCAGAACGGTCATGACAAGACATCGTCAATAGCATTCTGAAGAAAACTGTACAAAATGGAAATTTGAAAAAGGCAGAAAAGGATATTGTGGTAGTGTATTATTTGTAATTGAATTCCACTCTCAAATCCAGAGGGAAAGGGTGAAAGCCATCTTTCTCTCAGGCCAGGGGCTGAGTTTAACACAGTACCTTTTTGTAGCTAGGAGGCAAACATAGCAATGCCTTGATTTGTCTGCACGTGCCGGGCGCAGCCTCCAGCGCTGCAGTTCCGCGAAGCTGCACCAGCGTCCTGCAGCTGGGAATCCAGATCTCTCGGGATCACCCGCGACGCGCACACAGTGCAGAGGAGCTGCACAGAGAGCAGAGGAGCTGCAAGCTGGGGCTCGGTCCCCTGGGCCGAGCTTCGAGACGCCCTCCCTGCGGGGCGGAGCAGCGCGGGCACCGCAGCCCTCGCCCTGCCCTGCAGCCCCTTCACGTGGGGGACACCCGCGCTCAGTGCGAGGGCTCCCACTGCGCCACAAGCATCAGCGGTGGCACGAGGCTCGCTGCGGTGCAAGCCTCTCTGGGCCCAGCCACGGGGCTCCATCTGAACCTGCTACAGGCTCCGCGGTCAGGCTGCCCCACAGCCAAGACGCACAGAAAACATTAAAATCTAGCTGCCTTTTCCCTTGACTCTTTTCAGGCGGGGGGAAATCACCTTCTAAGGCAATTAAAGCACAGTAAAGAAAGGTTATTGCAGGCCTGTGCTACTATTTTGCTATTTAATAGTCACAAGCTATTGCATAGTTTGGCCAAGTGGAAAAACAAATGACTTAATTTATAAAGAGGCAGAAGGCTCTGATGCAGCAAATAGAAGGTTTGCTCTTATTAATAATTGATATTATTGTTGCAGCTAAGTATTGTTTTCCATTTTGCTTATGCAGATAGTTTAACAGTTTGAATTAAAAACTTGACATTAAAAATTCAGCGGAACACGCATGCTGCGTAACAACTGAAGACTCCTGCCCAGCCGCCCTAACACTGATACGGGGAGACACCGGCCTCCCCCTCCTGGGCCAGCAAAGCCCTCGCGTGGGACGGGGACGCCGCTCTCCTGCACCGCCCTTCCTGCACAGGGCGGCAGCGCAGCCGGCGCAGGAGCCCTCCGGAGCCCGTGAGCACTGGGAAGCAGCTCTGGGGGCTCTGAGCTCCCTCCCGAGTCACAACACCTGCAGACACGTGTGGTTCTAGTGAAGAACAGAAGGTGTAAGGGGAGGAATTTCCATGTAACAAACTATTTAGGACAGAAAAATAATCCGTGAAAGTAATTTGACTATTTTTAAACCATACCTAATTACAACATATGCTAATAACTGTCGTACCTTTACACAGAATTGAATTTAAGTCCTACTGTATTTGAACAATACTTCCTCTAATACACACGAAGTCAGTGTTGCTTCCCCGTGCCAGAATTAGCCAAAAATGGAAATTCATTCAGCACTTCACTGATGAATCACGACACCACAGCTCTCCAAGAAAACAGAATTAATGCCCTATTGCTACACTCTTCACCACGTGCTCACACACAGCCACCGCACACTGCTGTGCAGGGTGACAGGGCAGTCCCTTTGGCAGTCAGTCCGGCAGGCCCAAAAACCATCCGACTGTTCCCTGTCCTGGGTGACTCAGCCTGGACATGACCCTGTGCAACAGGCTCAAAGTGACCCTGCTTGTGCAGGTGGTTGGACTTGATGCTTTCCAAAAGGTCCCTTCCCACCTCGGTGATTCTGTAAAAAGAAATCAGAATTTTCCATGAGGAATTGAGCAAAGCTATTTCCTCTACAGAAAACTCTTTACACGTTATTTAGGATTAAATTTGTTTTAATCAAGAATTTGTAGGTCAATAACTTTGAAAACCTTTAGGCTATAATTAACTGTCTGAAATTCACATGAGAATAGCAGAAATTAAAACCAATTACCTTGCAAAATAACACTGTGCCCTTCCGCAGCATCAAAAGTCTCAAAGTACTTTGAAAGCATTAAATAATTCTCATTATCCAAGGCCTAAAAGTAAATACGGTTCAGAAAGTATCCTGCCTTTAAAGCTTGCAATGAACTATTCAAACTGAAGTATGGGCCACTACATATTCAAGCATAATGTAAACAACTTCCAAAAATTAAATAATCTAGAAGAAATTCTTATTTTCATAGATTCTATATAATGTAAAATAGAATTTTTTATGTCAATTCAGTAAGTTTACTTGGAGCAATTGCTGTTCTGCTCATAAAGCTCACCTGATAATACATGAAGACTGAAAGGAAAACATTCATGAGTTCCCCCCCAAGGAGACTGAGTTTGTATCTTGTCTATACCAATGTCAGGGATTTTACTCTTATACTGACAACTCATGTTTTTGTTTTCTAATAAATTCAAGCTCACTCTAAATACATCCTACATACAACACATTTAAATCTTACTTTGAAAGACTTGTACTACATTTGTCCATGAATTTAGCAATTACAGATTTGGTAAGTTTAAGACATTTAAAATTACCTCCAGGCCAGCCACTTCTGTTGCCATAAATCTATAGCTGCGCTATAGATTTCATGACTTCCATAGAAGTCATGAAAATTGTGTTGATTGTCACCACCTTTCTTTGGAGATGGAAATCCAGCAAAGTATTCTAGCCAAATGTTTAAATCCAAATACCTGGTTACTCCTACTGAATTCAATAGACTATGAAAATAGGTGCACACTTGGCAGAATTTGGGAAAACATTCATACAAGGCATCTTGTTATTCCTATTAATATTTTCTATCTGCAGATGACAAGAGGTTACCTGCAGTGAATCATATTCATTTTTTATTATTTTTAAGGCAAGTTTATCAGCAAACAAAAAACATATTACCAAATTTCTAATGTACTAATGTATAACCACATAAAGTTTTTATTTTAACTTTATACATTTTACCTTGGCCCTAAACTAGAAGCAGAAGGTGAAATATTCTGCTAGTAAAAACAAATACAAGTCTGAGCACACTGGAATTCAAGGAGAAAATTGTACATATACAAAAGTTACAATAAAACCTTTCCCAAATTACAGAGATGAACTACAAGCCTTGGAGAACGCTGAAAGTCATTTTCCTGTTTCAAGTTTATGAAATGGCTTTCTCAAGTCATTTACACGTTTTGTGGCTCATGCTATCCCTTCCGAGTAGCCTGTTTCCCTGTTACAGCCCAGGTGATGCTCCTGACCCTCAGCCACGAGTCTGCAGAGGCCCTTTCCAGGCTCTGTACAAAGCTGCAGCTTATCACAAGAGGACACTTTTAAGGAGGTACAGTGAGATGTGAAACCTTTTATGCAGTGTAAGGCAAAAGACCTTTGGTCTTTTTTTATGTCAAGAGTCCTTGCATTTTATTTTCTAGAGCTTCTATCATGTACCTTTCAGTTCTCCCAAGGTACTACACAATAACTAACACCTCTTCTAATGCATCTTTTTTGTTCTTAAGAGTCTTGTATTGAGAAGCAAGGCCTGATCAAGAGGACAAATGCTTATTTTACACTGGTTGCGGCCAGCCAAATAAAGTTTTTATAGCTTTAAGATACCTTCACTTATTTTTTGACATACATTCTCTCAAAAACTCCAAACACCTGTTCAAAAGCAACTCTGCATTTCCTGCTGTCCCAGGGCAGCAGATTAACTCTGCTCTAGCTTCACGCTTTTCTTATTTCCCTCGTTATGCTCTGTCGATCACATGTTAAAGCAACAGCTACCCCTGATCTGAGCATTCTTTATTTAAACTGCTACTACTTCCTAGCAAGTCCAGTCCACAATACCTAGATTTAGCAGAACAGAAAGAAGAACCACCTTGTCAAAGGAAAAAAGAAAAAACAAAAGCATTTGTCTCTCTAACCTGGCACTTTGAGTTTTCAGATATTCTTTATTCTTCAGCTCTCCTGCTAAAAAGGTCTTGTTGTGAGAGATGTCTCAGGCATCTAAGATCTTTCCTTACACGACTTTTTGAGCAATACACAAAAAACACATGACTTAACAGAATTATTTTCTTCCTTCTTAGATCCATATTTCTCAAGGACTGTAGCCAGGTGCCTGTATTTTGACAGGTAAAATATCCTGAGCTTCATTTAAAGTTGCTTGTATTAATTTCAAATAACTCTTAGATAACTTTTTTAAAAACTCATGTAAATGTAACTACTGAACAGCTGTAGTAGATTTTAGTTTGAAAAACACCACATAAATATTAAAACCTTACTCTCCATAACACTCCTATGGAGCTCAGTGTCATCACTACAAAGCACAGATGTGGATGTATACAGTTTAAAATATAGGTTCATGTAGCTGCTAGAGCTTCTGCATCTGTAAACTCCTGTGCATGGACAAACATTTTAACAAGATGGGGTTTTCTGAGTTAAAGGTAGGACTCAGAATGGGAAAAATCAAAATTGCTTTATTGATACCAAAATATCTTGGGGACAACAACAAGAAATCAGTCCTACTGATAAAATGAAACATTTCAATACTTCATTCCACGTCATGAGCTGAATTCAGACCAAGTTAACATTAGGGTTTTAAAAAAGACAAGCCTTAAAAAAATATACTGACCAGTAATTAGGCAAGGCTTTACAACTAGAGGGAAACATCACAAATCCTAAAAAAAAAAAAAAAAAAAAAAATGTCCTTCCCCCCTCCCCGCCACTGATAATGTAAATCAAAAAAGTGTTACCACTTAGAGTCCTGTATCATTTAATTTTGAGCTGTTTTCAGAATGAAGACCAACTCATTATAGCATTGAAGTGATGTATTTTTCAGCCAGGGAAGGCTTCACTTCTACTTAGCATGCGAATTAGTACCTTCATACATCTGCTGCGCAGAATTGAACCTTCAACATTTAGAGGAAAAGTGTCACTTAGCCACTTAAGTCCTGGGAACACTCTAGTTGGTGATACAAGCAGTTAGCCGCTTGTGAGTACGCTCAAGGTGTATTTGCTGGTCCCATGTCCCCTGACAAGGCACCTGAAGCACAGCTGAAGAAGTGCCAAGTGGACAGGCAAAATACCAAGACTGAGAGCCAAGATTCACAGCATACACATGTGCACTCTTACCAGTCAGACCCCTTTAGGCACAAGCATTGGAGAACGCTCACACTCCAACAAGAGCATGGGGCCTTTATACCTACTGTTTATTTCCTTATTTCTATCATGGATAAAATCTACTGAAAGTAACATCAAACCAGGCATTGGTATACAGGTGTAAATGCATCTTTTCAACGGCCAACAGATTTGGAACATAGCCAAGAGGAAAGGTTTTCTTTTCTGCAAAATATTACAGAATAGAGACATCATTTTTGGGGAGCAGGACAAGTACATTTTAAACAAGAGCTCCTCCATTTTTTCAAGCAGAAAGGAATTTTTAATACTCATGCTACCATATCAACCCATTTCATTTCAGCAGGTAGCAGTAATTTTATTTCTAACTGACAATACAGGCTTGCCTTTGTCTCCGGTCTTTAAGTCAGATAGGAAAAGCAGAGATGATGCACAGGAGAATGATGTTTTTCCAGAAAAACCCTGTTTAAAAAGGTGATAAATATTTCCTCAATCTGCTGTTTGGATTTTTCTATTATGAATCACTGCAGTTTAGGTGAATGAGGTCACCAAGTTTGAAATGCCAAGCTTCATTATCTTTCCACACTCAAGCAATTTGACTAGCTCCCATGTCAGTAATTGCTCATCTGACATTAATAACAAGACCCCTGTCTACAGAAAAAAAAAAAAAAATCTATGCATACAATGCTAATGGGAGAGAAAAGGGAAATGAAGAACCATGAGAGTAAACTATGGGGTTATGCTGTTGCCCATGAAGTGCTGAAAGACCATCTGCCATGAGTTCAGAAGACAATTCAAGAAGCTGCCTCAGATATACAAAGGAATTTAAGAACTGAGCAGCTGCAATTAGTTGGTGGTTAAACAAAAATTCTGAATTCTCACACGAATATTTTAGAAAAGCTGCCTATTTCAGGATAGCAAACAAAGATTGTTTTTGAGACAGAGGGCAATGCTCGAGTACTGTGCAATAATATGCCCCGATTACAAGGAATATACTCAGAGGACTGCTTTTGATATGCAAAATACAAAACAAAGAACTTTTGCAGCTATCAGTTTAGATAGCAGGAAGTTGGAAGAATTTTTCCAAATACAGCAGCTTTATTTCCCTGCCCTTGACATTG